TGTGTGTGTGTGTGTGTGTGAGAGAGACTCTCTGTGTGTGTGTGTGTGTGTGTGTGTGTGTGTGAGAGAGAGAGAGAGAGAGTGTGTGTGTGTGTGTGTGTGCTTTCTAAAGAGCACTGCATCATTTCTGTCTCGCTCGATTCAGAGCATTATTTTCAATTTAGATAAATATGATTAATGCTTTTGCTGCATTTCAGATATGAAAAAGCTCCTGAACTTTGATTTATTGGCACTTAAATGTAACCATATAAAAGCTCTTCTTAGTATTTTAGCGTCATGCATGCATTTGCTCTGTGTCTGTAATCATATTTTGTGCGTGTTTGTGTTTTGCAGCCAGAGAATGAGGAGAAATCAATAACATACGACAACATCGGACCCAACGTGTGTATGGGGGACCACAAGGTACAACTAACCTAACCAACCTCTCCAACTAGTTTGTGTGTGTGAATTTAGATATACTTGGCTGAGAAAATAGTCTTTGGAAGTGAGTTAAATCTGATTAAACCTAAAAAAAATTATTTTATTTTTTTTACTGTTCTTTTAAAGGTTTTTTTTTTGTCTCTAGTCTTCTTCAAATTGTTCTTTAAATGTTTCTCCTGAATGAAGGTAAAATAGCTTGTTTAGATTGGAATCAGTCAAACCAAACATTCAGGAAAATTAATTCTCAATAACTACTCCCTTAAAAAAATTAATTAAAGTAAGCTCCAGTAAGCTTTATTTTTCTTTAAAACTTCATAGTGCAGCTAGATATCATTTTCTGAATGAATGAATGAATAAATGGATGTTTTAGTCAGGTTTTAGTCTGTACAAAAGAATGAACACAGCACTTCTGCGCTCCTGTGATGGTGCAGCACATATAAGACACTCCAGACCAATCACAGATCAGTATGCAAATACATTCAAGAAATATCACCAATCAGAATTCAGTATGCAAATGAGGCCACTGCTGTTAGTCAAATGCTGAACGTTCTAACTGTGTGAATGTGAACTCAATCGTTTTATAGAAAACCAAAAAGATATTGAAATGATCTACAAAACATTTGATTTGAGATAGTTTCAGTAGCAGTCTTGGTTGGATATTACAGTACTGTTTTCTAAATTACTTCTGTGTGATGTTACGGTTCTGAATATGATATTCTAAATAGTCCTAGGTATCTTAAAAATACCTTTTTAAAATGTATTTATTTATTTTGTATGTTTGTTTTGTTCTGTATTATTGGAGCTTTTTTACATCAAGTGGTTAAAGCTGAATTATAAAGAATAAAAAGGAATATTTTAGGAATAGATGATGTCTTCAGTTTTATTTAATTACATTTACTCTCAGATCTACAACCCAAATCTTTGTTTTTAGATTTAGATTCTCATAGTGGGATAAGCTTGTGTGTGTGTGTGTGTGTGTGTGTGTGTGTGTGTGTGTGTGTGTTTGAACCAGACAGACACACACTCGTCAAAATCACATTCAGATGTTCTAGAAATGTCGGTGAATTTTGCACCCATGAAAGAAGAGTTCAGACAGAAGTGTGTGTGTGTGTAAGTGTGTGAATAAACTATTAAATGAATGTCTATGATCAGAACAGCTCATCTTAACTAAAGAGTGAGCTGGAGTTTGTTCTTGCTGAAGTCTCGGTCTGAATTCTGCTGTTTGTTGTATTCTCTGCAGCCAGTCTACTTGTACTTTCGGTTAAGCACAGGGGCAGGTAAACCTCATGCAAATAAGCACAAGTGTTGTGTCGTGCAGTGATGTGGTAAATATTTTCTTTTACTATTAATTTATTCTTACTATCCATATGACTTTATAATAGCCATGTCTGATTCTCATGATCTCTGTGTGTGTGTGTGTGTGTGTGTGGACCAGGAAAATGGTGCCAAAGGTTGGAGAAGATTTCATGAAAAGCGTCCCTGTGAGAAGCTCCGACACGGGTGGATGGACACACACACACACACACACACACACACGCAAACAGAGGACGCTGTAAAGACTTTTCAGCAGGACTGACCAGTCGCATTTGTCCAGTGCATGCAATCACGTCCATAGAAACGACACACAGAGTTCACGAATGCTTCACGAGTCGAGATCATGGACACACACACACACACACACACACACGTGCTGCATTTCCACTAAATCAGATGTTCTTCTTCTGACGTCTCTCAGCCTCGTTTCCCAAACTCTAATAGAACATCAGAAACACTACAGATTTTAAAAAGCATCCTTGCGGATTTTAGATATGCCTCGTAATATTACGAGCCACTTCCATACAGTAAGATGTTTTAAAAAGTGCAATGCAAGAACTCTTGTTGTATTTCTCTATGGTTAGGTTTATTTCTAGTGCTGTTTGGAGATTTCTAGACTTAGATAGCTATATTCTGTTCAAGCATTTGTATGATTTTCTTTCTCTCTTGACTCTTTCTTTCGATCTTGTTTATCTTGGTTTTTTTCTTGATTTGCCGTGCCGTGCCGCATACAACCGCCGAGTCTCATTTTATATACTGTACTTTTTAAAGAGATAATTTATAATATAATATGCTGACATATTGATACGAACGGCTGCTTTGGGTGTAAAGTTGAAATGTTTGAATAGTTATAAAGAAACGACTTAATCCACTTCATTGTAAGTAGAAAATGCCATATTTGATATATATATATATATATATATATAGCCAATTAAATTTTTGATCTTTTAAGCAGTGCCATAAACCATGCACGTATATAAGATAGTTTCAATAGCAGTCTTGCTCGGTTCTTACAGTGCTGTTCTTATTCTAACTTATTTCTGTGTAATAATGTTATGGTTGAATGTGATATTGTAAATAAGCCTGGGTATCTTAAATAGCTGTATCCTTTTTTTCCCTTTGTTTTTATGTATGATTTCTTGTTATTATATTATTGTGTCATGGTGCCAACTATTGAACTCGGTCAAATGTAGAGTTTGAGTTACGATGGCGTTGTGCAAAAACACTCAAATTATAAAGACCAGGAGAAAACTTAAAAAATGCACTTTACTTTACAGTGTGTTTTACCAACACAGTCACATATGAAGTACATGAAGCTCAGTACTAATGACACGGTGAGCGCTGTAAAGTAACGTGTGGTCATTTGGGTTTGATTTCTCGTGTATGTTCTCAGCATCAGTGCCGTGTGCTAATACTCATTGAATTCATTACACTACAGAGTCAACGATCCGTTAGATCGATCCCTCATTTCTGAATCGGTGGGAATGATTTTGTGTCGCTTTGACAGTGATTTGGTTTGAAGAACTGCTTGTTAACCGTGTTTTTCCCAGCAGCTCAGGTGATAGGATTCACTCTTTTCTTTAAGCAGATAGCGATTAGACCTCATGGATGGCAAGACCCCCAAAAGCAATAAAACCATTAGAACTCAATTAATGAATCAGTGCCTCTTTGTCATCAGTCAAGCACACCAATATCACCATGAGATTCACTAAACAAGCCTTTGACATTTACATGCATTTAGCATCATTGGTGGTCCCTGAGAGGGGCAAAAAAAACAAACAAAAAAACATATATATATATATATATATATAGGTTATGGCTGAATATCTTATTAAAAGGAAATAATGTAAGTGAAAATACACATAATTGACACTGGAAACTCTCAACAGAAAATTCGAGAATATGGCTTTCTTTTGCATGCAAGTATATTTTATACACACGTTTTAACAGCATTTATGTAATAACAAAAGTTAATTAGTCGTTCGCGAGTTCGCGTTTACCTGCCGTTACCATAGCAACACAACGCGCGATATTCGTTGCGATTAATACCGAAATCATAGTCTTACAACTGCTTAAGAATAAATCTACACATCACGAAAAAATAATGTTTTTTCAACATGTTTATAATGTGTTACTTGTAATAGTTAACGGGGTCACGAGACATTTGCATCGCGAATAACGCGACAGAAAAGTTCCTTAAAGTCATTAAATGATTCGCGCGCAGGTTTAAAAAAAAACAAACCGCTCGCGACTGAGAAATACAGATGTAAGCTAATCTATAAATGCATGTTTAAAGATCTGATTATCTTCATCAGTCCGAGTGATGCAGTTCATGCTCCTAAAATAAAACTTCCAAAAAGGACACTAACTATTTCTCTTATTACATCGGAATTTGTTAAATATTTGCAGGAAACTGGTTCTCCCTCTATAAACGCGTACTCGTGTTATGTTAAATTACTAGTAACAATCGTGTAAAAATGATATTATCATTACTATTAATGCACGGATATAATATGCAATTGCTAGCAGTTTTCTCGCGGCACATAACAGCACATCACTAAATATATGCGCTACAAAACAATCCGTAAATGTATGCAATTAAAAAAGCACCAGGACATTTTTGAAACACTGGCTTGTTAAATAATTTATTGATAATACAAAGTTTTTTCTTCCGTCCTCACGGAAGCAATAGTACTCTCTTCGTCGGTATTTATGTCCATGTTCGTGTATTTTTTCCTGTTGTGAGGTGAACATAAACTCCAGCGGCCAAAAGCACAAATTATTAAAACAAATTCTATTCACATCATTTACAGCACTGGCACTTCTTTATACACTTGGTGTACCTGTTTCCAAAATCAAAAGTGAAACTTTTAGGCGAAAAAGGGCGTTATTCTTCTGCGATTTTGATGATGATGATGATGATGATGAGGGAAAAGTTGGCACGTCTCCGTGATGCTTTAATAACATAATTTACTCAGTAAAAAATATATATACACATCTCACGTCCACTTCTACCTGTACAACCGCATTCAAAGCAAAGCAAAAGCAGCGTGAACTGTGTTTATACCCTGCTTAATTCTGCCTCGGTTCTCCAGAAGAATCTGAAGCAGAGGATGATGATGAAGATGATGAAGAGTCTTTTGCTCAGCATCATCACAAAGTGTCCGAGCTGTTGCTGCACGGGCTGATGAGGGACAGGTTACACGTCTTGTGCTTTTTTAACAGTCTCGTGATTTTCTCGTCGTCGGAGTTCGGGTCCAGAGGTTTGTTGTATTCATCATCATCCTCGTTTTCCGAGCTCTCCTTCATCTTCTCCGTCTCTGAGTCGTGTTTCTTTTTAGCCGTGGCCATCTCAGCCGCGTGCCTCTTGCGCCATTTGGTTCTTCTGTTCTGAAACCAAACCTGAGACAGAAAAAAAAAACGCTTCAGAGCACTGTCCATATCAGTGATCAATTAGGCTATTGTTTTTTTTTTTTTTTTAAACAAAAAAAGGCAGAAGTTGCATGCAACTTAACTGAAATCATATAAATCAAGCAAAAAGTGCATGCACTCTAGAGCAAGCGATTGATTCAAATAATAAAAGCAAATGCATGTTGACCAGACAATGCGTAAATGTAAGGCCTAACGGTGTGCAATGCTGTGCAACACTCACAGCGATTTTTTTTTTTTTGGTTAAAAATATGATTTATAATCCCAAAAAATTTAATTTCAACATTAGAAATTAATGCTCCAACAGTTTTGCTCGTTTGCAAATTCATATCACGAGCAACTGACAGCGACTTTCGCGGATAAAATAATCTGTGGTCTCATTCTGCCCGTTTGCATTGAGGAAAAAAAGTCTAGAATTAGATTAAATTAATATAAAACCCGCCTCTGGTTTACCTTGACTTGACTCTCGGTCATTCCCAGAGAATAGGCGAGTCGAGCTCGCTCCGGTCCGGCCAGATATTTGGTCTGTTCGAAGGTCTTCTCCAGCGCGAAGATCTGCTGTCCGGAAAAAGTTGGTCTGGAGTGTTTCTTCTTTCCATCATTGTCCAGCATCAGATGTGCCTGGGCTGGAGAAAGAAGAAAATAAGACACGGTCAGTCAAAACCGAAAACGAGAAATTCGATTTTACGTTTATTCATTTAGCAGACGCTTTTATCCAAAGCGACTTACAATTGATCATAAAGAGGCAAAGAAGCACAAGAAGTGATATTTACTTGACGCTATTTGCGAGAGAATATGGATGACCCACAAAGTGTCAAACACTAACATTTCAACAATCTGAGCGTGAAAACCAACATACACTCTTACAAATAAAGCTCAGAACCTTGAACATCCATGAAACCTTTCAAATGCATCGTTATAGTCCAAAAAGTGTCTTTAGATTTTTTTTTTTAAATGCTCCTCAAAATGGTTCTTTCAGGAACTGATCACTGAAGGGTTCTTCGGGGAACCAAAAATGGTTCTTCTGTGGCAGGAACACGCTTTTGGAACCTTTATTTTTAAGAGTGTACGCCAGTTTAGAAAAAGATTCAGATTCTATTTAGGTTTTAAAGAAAACACGCGACCCACGAGTGTCAAAAAAATATCATGCACTTAAAGTGCTCTATTCTCGCGCACTACTTTTGTACTTAATATACTAAAAATGATTCTTTAGTAGGCTACTTCTTAAGATACATTTGAGATCAACTAAGTGTGCTGTTTTGGGACACAATGAATATGAACTAAAATGCGCTTTTAACATACTATCTCTGTATTTGAAAAAAACAACAAAAGTATTTAGTCAGCACTTGTAGTACACTTATGTGTACTAGTGTATGAAAGATGGGTTCAAGTGTGCTACAAGTGCTGACTAAATACTTTTTTTTTCAAATACAGATAGTATGTTAAAAGCGCATTTTAGTTCATATTCATTGTGTCCCAAAAAGGCACACTTCTCAAGTTTATCTTAAGAAGTACTAAAGAATCATTTTTAGTAGCCTATATTAAGTACAAAATTAGTGCGCAGAAATAGAGCACTTTAAGTACATTATGGAAGTGTAGTCGCTCCGGTCCGGCCAGATATTTGGTCTGTTCGAAGGTCTTCTCCAGCGCGAAGATCTGCTGTCCGGAAAAAGTTGGTCTGGAGTGTTTCTTCTTTCCATCATTGTCCAGCATCAGATGTGCCTGGGCTGGAGAAAGAAGAAAATAAGACACGGTCAGTCAAAACCGAAAACGAGAAATTCGATTTTACGTTTATTCATTTAGCAGACGCTTTTATCCAAAGCGACTTACAATTGATCTAGGCTGCGTTTCCCAAAACCATCGTACCCCTAAGAACATAGGCTTACGATGCTTTTGGGAAACGCAGCCCTGCTGAGCGTGAAAACCAACATAAGCCAGTTTAGAAACATTTTCTGGAAAACTCACCAGGACAGGGAACCCTCGGGTCTCTCCAGGGTGAACCCTGCATCATTCCGGGCCAGAATATGGGCGCCCTCCCGGGCAACTCCGTCAGCGGTTTGGGGTACCGAGACACCGCCGCGGGGTTGAAGTACATCCCGGCTGATGTCAAGCCGTTGATCCGGGGAAAGCCCGAGAGCAGCTGTCCCGCGGCGGTGATGGGTCTCCCCAAGATATCGCTTATTCCATGCGGCGTTCCCAGCGGGATCTGAGAGCTCAGGTTGCAGAAGGAAGGAGCCTTGAAGCCCGCGGGGTTCTGCAGGGCGTACGGGAATAGAGACGTCTTCATCTCGGTCATGTTGTGCAGCGCAGCCAGAGGAGTGCTGCCCAGAACGAACGCACTCTGCCGGTTACTATCCATCTGCCCGACCGCTATCATTGGTGCGAGTGAACCACAGGGCGAAGCAAGAAAGTTCGTGCGAGAAAGTTTAACGCCCACAACTTGACAACTCATCCACCAGAACTGTAACTTTCAACCGGCGAGTTCCAAAGTTCGCGAGCGCTTCCCGATGAATCCCAGAATCCGGATGCCGGCCGTCGGCAGATCTCACGCCCGCTTTGAGTGCAGCGATCGCCCGCATCTGAAGCGTCGTCCTCCGCTCAATGGACTCCTGCGGCGATGACGCGCAGATAACCGCGCCGCCACCTGCAAGCGCGCATCTCCCATTGGAAGACGCTACGTGACGCCACGCTCTGATTGGAGGACGCGAGGCGGCGGATTTGCATGGACAAAGCCGCACTCCATCAAACTCGTAATGTAGCGCCATTTAACGACGCGTCGCGTTGTAGAAATCATTGTTTCGCATTGCATTTGACACAATAGGCGCGTTTACTTTATGACGAGTACATTAACCTCCATACGACTAATAACGCCGCGCATTTCTCCATTCAGACGTCGCGTATAATCCGTTTCGTTTAGAACAAATATGCAACACTTTTTAATAAATGCGGAAAACTCTACAGTTAAGATGCACGAGTCGCTTAATCGCGGGTTGCTAAAACCTGCTGTGCGTGCAGAAGCTGGCAAATCTAGAAGCTCACTGGAAGATTTTTACACTTATTTATATAAACAATTATTTATGCACGCAAGTCTCATTTATGTTCTCTTTCGCAGGTTAGCTGTTAGAATGACTTTATTATTATCACTGAAAATATTGCTCACCGTTTTAGCGTATTAAAAAGATCGACATTTACAAACATAAGCGCCCTTATGCAACTTAACGGGTTGTTGCTAAAATAGCCAAATCATCTAAAATAACTGACATCATAAAATATGAATCACATGGTTTGGGGGAAAAAATAAAGCAATGTTTTACTGCGTATAACTGAATGCGACTATAAGCGATTTAAATCGGGCTTAGTTAATTCAGGCGTATAATATATTAAAGTGAATATGTTTTCTACCCCTATATTATTTTGGTCGTTTTTTTGAAATGTGAGTGATTTTTTGAAATGTGAAACGTGATTTGAAATTTGAAATGAAATTTGGTATATTTTTGAAAATATATTTTTTAAAGGATTTAAATGTATATTTTGCCCTTCATATATTACAATCGAAGAAAGTACATGTCACACTTTGGTGAAAAACTTTATTTGTTGTCTATAACACATGTAGACATATAACACATCTGCAAGAAACATACTTTACAAAGTAAAACAAACAAAAAATATATGTATATAAATAAACATGATTAAATCTAGTTTTGATCTCAAGCTGGCTTTTCCATCCACATTAGCTTTTATCCTAAATGTAGGCTACTGTAAGATTGTAAATGTATTTTCTTGCACCTGAAATACATTTAGAAATATACAGTATATGACAGTTAAAACTAAATATATTTCCAATTTCAAAAATATATTTCATTGAGCTTCACTGTTTACAACATGTATTTAGTATATATTTAAAATATATTTTTAATCAGTTTGATCATTTCACAGACACTTTTATCCGAAGTGAGGACAACAAAAGAGCAGCAATATTTAAGTGCTGTGATAAGTCCCAGTTAGTCTAATGCAGTACACGTAGCAAGTGTATTTTAATCTAATTAATAGAAGACATAATAGGCTTTCATGCATCACGCAGATGCTGTTATCCACAGTGACTCGCATTGCATTCGAGCTGTGCATGTTATCAGTGCATGCATTCTCTGGGAATCGAAGCCATGACTTCTACGGTTTGAGCTCCTGCATGTAAACCTTGAATGCAGTGTAAGTGGCTTTGAATAAAAGCATCTGCCCGATGCATCAGTGTAAATATAAGCTACAGGTCATATCAATATCAGCTTGTGAATGTTCAATGAGCTCGAGTCACAGAGAGCTAGTCTTTAATCACAGTTAAAGTTACACAAGCCTTCGTGAAACAGCACTGGCATCCTCTCTCCAGATCCCTTCACTAACTAACTAACTAACTAACTAACTAACTAACTGACTGAGTCACCTCTCTC